CACGAGTATTAATGGGGTTTTATCCCACTTACGACGTGGACGTGGACTTTATGGTAAAAGAGGCTCTCAAAGTAAGACAAATAACGATAGATTTTTCAAAATGAAATGAGCTGATAAAAGAAGGATTCCTTCAAGGTTGGGCTACTCATCATCATCCATAATATAATAACGTTAACGTAGCGTTGGTTGGATGGTGGATAATAAAATAAATCTCTCCTACAATAACTTAACTTCCATTTAACTCTTTCGTTTCATTTTGTATCTGAGGGAAAAAAGTTTTTTGAGAGATTTTCAGTTCAGAACGGGGGAAAAAAAGTTGAAACACAGAATTTGAAAAGAGATGAAAGATGGGATGGGATTTATTAAATGCCCTTGAGCCTACTTAGGAGGAGAGGAGAGAATAGGAAGTTTTTGGTGCATTCCTTACATACACTCTTCAATAAATTGATCATCTATTCACCAGTACAAGATTGGTGGTGGTGGATGATGCTGACTAATAATGATGATGCCTACGTTACATACTAATGGCAGCATTAATGAAGTATTATGTTGTAATAATAATTATTCTCTGAATATTGGGTATATTTGTGGAGGAGCGTGTCTCTATTGGGCTTAAACCCAAAGCGAGATTAAATCAAACAAGAAGTTAAAACTTGTATAAAACGAAGGATTGAAACACGTGTAATCCCATCTGTAACTTGGACATTGGGAGTATTTGCATATTACATAATAAATAATATAACTCCGTCCCATTCCAAGGACTCCTTGAGTGAGTGAGGTGTCAACAATTAAAATCAATCGATAACCACAAAAAAATAATTTGCAATATTCTTTTTTTGAAGTTTGTACTACCCAAATCAATTCTGAGAAGAAGGATTGTGATAATATTAGTGGCTTACATAACAGATAAATATTTTGTGAGCAGTGGCCGCGGAAGGATGGAGACAATGTCCCCATCATAGTTATTCCTCCATCATATGCCTATCTTATATAAACCCGTTTCTCCCCTACCCTACAATATTAACGCCCCCGCATGTCCCCACCCCTTCCGCGGCCACTGTACACTCTTTGGTGGCCTGGCCACTACTGCAAAAATAATGAGAATTATATTGTCTAATATTTATATTGGAGTACGTATCTACAAGCTTAAATTTGGAAACCATTTATGGATTTCTTCAAAAGATTGGTGGAGTTATACAATCTTTTGTGTTGGTCGTGTTTTTCTCAATTTTTTCACAATTTACCATCCACCACAATTTTCTCTCCTTTTGGATTGAACACCATTCAAAGTAAAATTGATAATGGTCACACACTAACCAATGGATGGACATGCCATTAGAGCGAAATGAATTTTTTATCGTCACACACACAGTCTGGACTCAAGTCCTTTCTTATTATTCTGTGTAGTAATTTGGTATTCAAGTGTCCATGCACCACATTTTCCATGAACGGACGACGAAATGAAATGAATTACGTAAAGTAAAAGCAAAACAAACTTGAAGCAGGGGCTTAAAAGGATTGGGTTTGTTATATTCTGTTGTGTACCTTGTTTTGCACCCCAACTTACAATTTACTTGCTTATAATGCCGCGTTTTTCAGGTCTTTTTCATTGTGAAAATTTTACAAAATTACAAACAACCATCTTTTTCATGGGGAACAATCAGGCAACAATGGCTCGCCAGGATTGAAAAGGGTTGAGAAGAATGGACGACGGACTTTCCAGCTTTTGGATGGTCCCCGTGTTGATTGAACATTTATGGAAATCTCTCCCTGGTTAATGTGGCTTATTTAAATTTACGCCTTATTACAGATTCTTGTTCTCCCTTCAGGTAAAAATGGGTACGTAACAAGTCATGGTGACCAGTGGCCGTGGAGGACAGAGGGACAATGTCCCCACGGTTGTTCGATGTCCGCATCATCTCCCCATCTAATATAAACCCCTTCCTCTCCTATCCTACAATGTTAATGTCCCCACACCTTCCGCGGCCACTGATGGTGACGGTGTGGATCCACATATTAACTAAATACCAATCTATGAATACGAGAATGGTAGTGGTGCATGAGTAAGAATTTTACACGGCCATGTGGAGTACACCAATCTATACAAAAAATCACCCTCTTCTTCATACCTTCTCAACGGTGTTGAATTCGTTTCCAGTCAGTATTCATTAAATGTGAGATATGTACGTGTACGAGTACATCATCAAGTAGAAGAGGGTACACACGAGGGTTTGATTAATTAGGGAGGTTTACCGCTTAAAATTGTCCAATTTTTCTCCGTCCTCGGCATTTACCGATATTTTCAACCCTTTCCAACATTGGAATATGTATATTTGAGCCATTTGTAAATATAATTGCACCTGACTTTAAACCTCCGAACCCCATTAATACCAATCACCATTGGGCCAAGGAACAAATCCCTCATAAAAGTGGAGACAGCAACTGCATTTCATTTTTTTCATACCATCTTCAACTCCGCGTCTCAATCAGACTTTAAAAATATAAAGATAGATAAATAAATAAATAGGCACGCTAACAAGAAAAGTGAGTACTTAACAGAATCAAAACTAATATTTCCTCATCATTTTTTTCACCCGTAACTCGACATGATGTCCAATTTCTTTTTTATACCACTTTAAAATCCGAAAAAGTGACAAGCGGAATTAGCTGTGGAATTAGTAATCGTATTTCATTTCAATGTTTTTCTTAGTTTTAAGTTGATGATACCCTAAAACCACGCACCTGACATTGGATTTGTGGACGTGGACACATGCTCGTGTCGAGATGGGGGCCTAAAGTGTGTCCAAGTTGGAATTTACGGTGCATGGGGAATGCAAGTCAAATTGGTTGGAAGAATATTATTCCACGCTACTATTTACTATTAACCACTTGTAAAGGAAAAGTACATCTCATCTGTACACCCTTTGAAAATATGATGAATTGTTGAAATGAATATGGATTGATGTCTGTACTGTAGCGGAGACGGAATATTTATGAATTTCGAGGCAGTTGTAAGCAAGATGGATTATTCTTTCTATTTATAAAAATACAGATAATTTTGTCCCTCTCACCAATTGTTTGACCAGTTACTTAAAGAATTCCTCCTGCGATGTGATAAATAGACAAAAAACTGGAGAGAGAGAGAGACTTCTTAATAACTTGTGTGACTCGATCGAGTGTTTCTTTTCTCATTCTTCATCGAAATAATAATAATACCTGAGTCCAAAAATTATCATAGTCATCAACCAAACCACATCACCTCACCTCCGTATTTATTCCTTATTTGTTGTGCTTCACCATGCACTTTTTTCAGAAACTGTTAGTCAGCCCATTTATTTCTTCTTCTTGAGTCAACTTCCACTCGTCTCAAATGTGCTTAAAAGTGGTAAAAAGTCGCACAAACCAAGTGTCAAGTGAATGTGTAAATATTCGAGTTCTTTTTTTAATTTTTAACTTTTCTGCACTAACAAATATTATAAACCCATCAAATTTTTGGACTCGCCATTGCCAAATATGATTAAGAAAATGAGTAAAGTTTTTTGAAGTATTTTTGCTTAGGTTGGAATGACATTTATAAAATTTTTATTTTTCATGGAGATTTTTTTTAAATATATTTTTAACTTTTCTGTACCATCGAATTTTGTACTTGTCAAATATCTATGTATGATTAAGAAAATGCGTAAACGAGTAAAGTTTTTTTTTATGTTGGAGAGTGACATTTATAAAATTTTTATTTTTCATTCCCATATTTGGCTAAACTCTTTCCCAACATTTGGTTTGGTTTTGGTGCATTTGGTATTTTGTTTTGCTTTTCATTGTAAAGATTTATTTAAGGATTGCGAGTCAGATGAAACCATTTAATTTTGAATTGAATGGGGATTATCATTAGAAGCATTCATGCGTCAAGTCAATCCCAACCAACCAGCAGAGGCATAAAGAGAGAAGGAATTCTAAAAATCTTGCCAGCTAAAATACGTACTAAATATGATAAATAGTTAACCATTGGCCGCGGAAGCTGTGGGGACATTTAAATTGTAGGATAAGGGGAGGACCGGGTTTATATAACGTAGAGGACATCAAAATTGTCCCTCTGTTTCCGCGGCCACTGTCGTAAATGACGGAATTATTTTGATTTTATTTTTATATCTGCTGAGATTCTAAAAGGAGCATGCATCTTAATAAATTTATTTATCCTCGAAACAGCGATTAGTGACTGGCTGGTCGGTTGCTGCTTTCCTTGAATCGAATGATGTGTAAAAAAGAGATTGAATACTTGTCGGTGATGCAATCCCCCCCGTGGGTCCCATTGTTCACAAAGTCCATTGTTCCTTCGATAGATATTTTGGAATTTGAATTTTTTTCCGTAAATACAAAATATATACCCCCGACTCGCTCGGACTCTGATGGACATCACCAATTCACCACCACCTCGAAAAGAACTACTTACAATTACTCCTCAAAAGTACAAATTGCTTTGCTTCTACTAACTCGAAAATTAGTCTCATTCTGCTCCAGGCATGTATGTATGGTTGTTGCGTAATAATTGGCTATATTCTCAACAATGTCGTATTTTTGCAGCGAAAAATCTAAATTTGCTATGTTTGTTCAGAATGTGTTGATTGCTAAAACAGTGGCCGCGGAAGGTGTGGGGACATTAAGATTTTAGGGGAGGGAGGGGTTTATATAAGATGTGGGCATCGAATAACCGTGGGGACATATTGTCCCTCTGTCCACACACTTCCGCGGTCACTGTATGTACATAATCTCCCCTTAATTTTGAGCATTTTACTTGGTGTGTAATACCACAAAATTTGGAAAAACTTTAGTTTTGACAGGTTTTCTTACTAGGAATTGAGAAATTTTGTAAACCACGGAGGTGGTTTATTGTTGGGGACATTGTCCCACCCTTCAGCGGCCACTGATTGATTGCTAATCTTAACAAACTACTTAAGGAATAGTAGAGCCGAGTCATTTTAATTGAAAAATGCGTGTACACTGACCTTGTCGATGTCCATCCGTAATTCCATACAAACTTAGAAGCTCCTTCATCGTATTTTCGGCAAAATCGTTCAGCACGGCGGCACTGGGGTGATGATTGTTGTTATTGTTGTGGGCAGAAATGTTATTGTTGTTCAAGTGCGAACCACCACTGGGGTTCGTGGTGCTGCTGGGAAGCACGTCCCCCGTCCCCCGCGCCTCGTCGTAATGCTGTTCGCTGCGATGACCCGCCATCCGGAGGTCCATTCCCATCCCTAATCCGAGCGGGATGTTGTTACTCACCGCGGCCGCGGCAGCGGCGAACGAATGATTCAAAAAGGACGCGGGGTCGTTCACATTATTGTTTAAATTGCTTAAAAGGCTCCGCACGGCGAGGGCTTCTTTCTCCTTGGAGGAAGAGTGGGAGGACTGGTGCCAGGATTTGCTGGAATCTGGGTGGATGGGATATTGAAATATTAGTGGAATCACGTGATAAATTTGCGACTTTGGTGCAATTAGTAGGTCTGGTTAATCACAGTAAAAATTTTAACCGCTTTCCTGCAGAAATTTGGCCCAGTTTTTTTTTGCAGAAAAACTTTATTCAGAGCGTTTTATGCAGAAAGCGCAGAATTATGCACTTACGGTTTTGCAGAATAAAACCGATAGAAATTTTCTACAGGTTAAAACTGATAGAAATTTTCTGTAGAATAAAAACCGACAGAAATTTTATGCAGAATAAAACCGATCAAATGTTCTGCATAATAAAATCGATCAAAATTTTGATCGGAAACAAATTTTCTGCAGGATTGTGTACCAAAAATTATGCAGAATACTTTATGCATCAAGCTTTTGTCAATTACTGCAGAATTCGACACACTGCTTTCTACTCGGGATGTTTAACATTAAGAGCGATCACTTACAATCTCGAAGGTCCAAGGGACCATCAATATGGGAAGAACCGTGATTATTATCCTCCTCAGAATTGTCCTCAGATTCACCGGATTCTTCCTCCTCATTGTTCCCCATCCCGTCCAAGTCCATTCTTAAGTCGACCCCATTGACCTTTTCCGGAATGGAGGATTCACTCGGGCTGCGAGGATTCTCATTTTCCTCCTCATCGCAATTCATCTCGTGGCCGTGGCGTTGTTGGGAGGAGGCATACTGCCGACTCGGTTTGTGATACTTGCTCAACTGGGGACGATTGTTGTGGTGGTGATGTTCCTGTTCCTCGTCGGAACCCGCATATTCCAGAATGTTTCTGGGTTTGAAGTTCTTCCTCTTATTTTTTCTCGAGGAAGAACTGTGCACGTGGGAGTCGGGGGATTTGTTGTTGTTGTTGGAGGCTGAGAGGCTGAGATCACATCCGATTTCACTGTATGGAGAAAATACAATGATAATTATGGATTTACGAAAAAAATGCCAAAATGTTTACAAAAAAGGGCAAAATATTAACAAAAAAAACATTTTCGCAAAATATAGCTTGGATTTTGCTCTGGATTTTTCATTGTCTCTGAGCAAAACCTTTTGTCTCACGTCGTTGAAATATTTACAAAGTATATTTATTTTTGAAAAAATATGTAAAATATTTGCGTATTTTTCAAATAATTGCGAAACTAGTTGAACATATTTCAGTTGAACATATAGCTAAACATATTTCTGAAAACTTAGAGATATGTAAAAAAAATAATAAAAAAATTTTAAAAAAATATTTAGAAATTTGTCTGGTCTGTAAGAGTTATTATGGAACAAAACCCCACAAAATTTGACCATCGGTCACCATCAAATGAAAAAGTAGAAAAAATAAATACATCCATATCCGCCAAAAATATGCATAATGACACCTTATCATTAATGATAAGTAAATGATAGTTTAAAATAGTGACAATTAACCAACTCACCTGGCACTACAACTCGTATTGTCCTCGTCACTTTCCTGATTAATATTTTCCGTTTCAGGACATTCTTCCCCTCCGGAGTTGGGTGGAATTCCCCTCCCCGTCGTTCCTCCGCCCGGCGTCGTTCCTGGATTTTGCATAAAAAACATCCCTGCCACGGTGGACATGCCTCATCCAATTTGTACCCCCACGATGGGTTAGCTCACCAAAAGCAGTGATTTATTGCTAGGATTATTATTAGCCCGCTTGTCAATCATCAGTGGGAATTCATCTCTTTTTTTATATTATTATACGTTCAAGTCCTTCCAGGTGTACATTTCAAGTATTTGCATTTGTATTGATGACGATTAAATCTTTGGTGTTGATCGAGGGTTGACTTGACTTTTGTTGATTTGATTCGACTGACTACGATGCCTTTTCCTTGCTTTGGTTTCTTTGATAAATCGTTTTTTAGCTCGTCTTCACGCTTCAGTTGACTCTTAATCCGTTTCTGGAAGTAAAAAAAATGAATAAATAATTATTTATTTAGATTTAAATGAAAATTCAAGTCGGACATGTTTTTTAAGAATTGCAACACAAATGTGTGCATGACATTTATGGAGGATGAAATATTATGAAAAGTATGCATATAGCCAGTGGCCGCGGAAGTTCTGGGGACATCTGGGGACATTAACATTGTAGGATAGGGGAGGGAGGGGTTTATATAACATGATAAGGACATCGAATAACCGTGGGGACATTGTTCCCCCTCTGCGTCCCCTCAAGCTTCCGCGGCCACTGCATACATACGATACGAAAAGAGAGAAGCTTTTACATGTGGCCTAAGTACCAATAGAATTACTCTAATGGAATCCATTAATCAATCAATATTTGAATTTGATATTTTATATAGAATTTAGATTTTTTTTTAGTAACGCATCAAGCCGACTTTTCTCATTGTGTCGTAATTGTAGCGAAATTCAATTCAAACAAACTGATCTGCATAAATACGAATGTATGTTCATATGAGGCATGCATGTTTATGTCAGTTTCATCAATAAAAAAAACGAGCGTGAAGCAATAATTTTTACGAATGAATGCTAAATGTGAATATTAATCGATCGTCAATCGTGCCTCACATCAAATCAGATATTCGATATTCAATATGTTTTGTGCTATCTCCCCTTTCAGCTGTAAAACACTAGCAATATGCAAATCTCGTAAAATATGTCTTTCTCTTATTCATGTTCGATTCAATAGAAATCAAAATTCATAGAGGAGGAAAATGAAAATGAAATAATAAAAATATGAATTCGACGTGGCCATGCACGTTTTTTTAAACCCGACGAACCAACTTTCCTTTTATTTATTACGGATTTGTACATATGCAAATATGAGAGAAATTAAAAAATGTGTATTAGTCACCTAACCTCACCTGCCTGCCCGTTTGTGTACGTACACCTTTTAAACGTTAGTTAGTTACTTAAGCATTTTTCATTAACAAGGTTTTTTTTTCGCCTTGTTAGTTAGTTACTTGGTTGACATGAAATAAGGTGGAGTACATATGTAAACAGTGGCCGCGGAAGCTGTGGGGACATTAATATTGTAGGATGGGGGGAGGGAGGGGTGTATATAAGATGGGGAGATGATGGGGTTATCGATCAACCGTGGGGACATTGTCCATCTGTCCCCACGTCTTCGCGGCCACTGTACGCAAATACAGCTTTTTTACTAGAATTATTTTCCTTGTACTTGATCATTTTTTGGTGTAAATGAGCGCCATACGACCGTCGTCGACCGGCCGCCTGTGCGTGCATGCATGGATTGTAAGTAAGAGAGTGCAATAAAATTAATAAAAATAATGGACTTTTGTACAGTGCATCACATGCAATGCATATTTTATTCAGGTCTTTTTACTTCTTTCATTATTTCGTCCATCCATTTAGTATTTAGCTCATTTTTTGGAAGTAGTGAGTCCAACGGAGATTTCAAAAGTTTCAAAGGAAACACCGGCGCCTGTAGTAGTGCGTACTTGCAGTGGCTGCGGAGGGGTGGGGGCAGAGGGACAATGTCTCCACGGTTATTCATCATCTCCCCATCTTATATAAACACCTCCCTCCCCTATCCTACAATTTTAATGTCCCCACAGCTTCCGCGGCCACTGGTATCGAGTTGGTGGAACCCTTTCCCTCTTTTGTGCTCAACCCGACATATATATTCATCTCTCTAATGTTTCCACGTAACATCATAAATCATCAATCATCAGCTGAAAATTATGCAAATTCTGGTCCAAACTGAAAATTTACAAGTAGGTAAGCTCACCAAATGGAGAATGAGTTTGAATATATGCTGAAAAACGAAACCAAGAGAGCCGGCTGTCTCTTTACTATTCATGGAGGAATCAACACACTGGATAGAATATCATTTCACCCTTCACCCTCCTTTTCTCATTACAAACCTGGTTTTTCAAGGGGAGCATGGCAGCACAAAACACGCGTGTTTTTATCAAAGAAGAAATGATATAAATGTCGAGTTTTTCAAAAGCTTTGTTGCAGTGTGATTTGCATCATTCTTCGCATGTATTTACTGTGGTGGGTCCGAAGAGATTCATATGAAAATTGTAGTGCAACCAGATAAAAATAGAAATATATGGGACGTGCGGGAAAATACGGTGCACAATGTAAATGAAGAATGACGTATTTCATACATGGATTATATGTACATGCGAAAAAAAATGATTGCAGATTTCGAGTGGATTTGAAATAGTGCTAAAAGTGTGTAAAATTCAAAATAATTTGAAATTGCATTATTTTAGTCGTGAAGGAAGTGTCTTTAATTTGTGGGCATGCCATAGATGAGCAAATTGAGACTTTTGCAAGGTCTAATTTTCCAGGTGAGACGAAAATCAATGCAAAATGTGACTACGTTCTCTTAACAGAATTTTTGGTGGGGTAGGTTGGAACACTGCGGAGGAGAAAGTTGACCATTTTTTAACGACACCACCACCACCACCTCATTTCTTCTGCATACTAATAACACCAATAAATCTTTGCTTTTTGGTAATAATTTATTTCCCATATTCCAAAAGTGTTGGTTGCCCATAAATATACAGCCTGCCAAAGTACCGAGAGAAACGGGAAACGATATGTTACATTACAAAAGCGGCTTGCTTTTGAGCCATTTTTAAATTTTAAATTTAAATGAAGATCCCTTTTATTACGGCTGCATTTCCAGCGTTTTGTAGCCATTTGTTTTTCCACAGTAATTATCACAGCAGGCCGAGAAGTGTATATGTATGGTTGTTGAAAAACACAATAAAAACCAAAAAGGTATATACCTAAAGCTGGATGGAGAAACTCTCTATTTAATAATAATACTGCCAGTTTTATACTATTCTTCTTCTCCTGGTTGGTGGTGGGTTTGATCAGTGGCCGCGGAAGAGTGGTGGGGGTAGAGGGGCAATGTCCCCACGGTGATCCGAAGTCCCCACCATCTCCCCGTGTTACATAAACCCCTACATATTCTACAATGCTAATATCCCCAGGCGTCCCCACAGCTTCCGCGGCCACTGTGCCTGATAAATATGCCTGAGTGAGAATGCGGTGCCTGGGAATATGACGAAAAAATGGGAGGGTGGCCTGGCCATCCACCAACATTCAACATTTAATGTGTAATTTATAATGATGAGATGACGACTCTCACATCATTCCAGTAGCAGCCGCAGCACCACGTCATGTCATCCTCGTTTTTATTGTGCTTCATAAACCATAAAAATATAAAAAGTGAACTCCTCTCTCTCTCTTCGTTGAATTTAAAAATTCAGAAATTGAATGTGATTAATTAATCCGACGAAGAGGAGACAAAAGCGGAGCAATGAGTGGCTAAAATCTTTTCAAAAGAACGCATCTCCCAAATGACCCATTTGTTACAACGGATAATTTCTGCTCTTTAGTTTTTAACCAATTGAGAAAATAAGTTGTGAATAATAACTTTTTAACAAAGTTAGATCCGTTGCACGTGGTTTATGCTATTTTTAATTATGAAGTCACCCTAAAAATTTAGACACTGCATTGGTTCATTGGGGAAGGCGAATAAGTGGCAATAAATTATTTTATTCATAGTTTACAACTACTTCAACATGACACAAGCAATTAAACCCTTATGCGTCCCTTGGTTGAGAAATTGTACATATTGTGGCTTTGTTTTAAAGCGTGTGAAAATTTAACATTTGGGAAATCCATGGAGCGAATTTGTCATGCAATTTATGCATGATTTTTCAAATTTATGTATGATTTATCAAGATGTATGTGTGTATAAGTTTGCGCATGCAATTCATGTATATTTACATATGCACATGATGCAAAGAGGAATTTCTTTAACAAGACTTCTTAACAGTGGCCGCGAAAGCGTGGGGATAATGTCCCCACGAGTGTCCCCCCATCATCTACTTATAAACCCATTATCCTACAATGTTAATGTCCCCACAGCTTCCGCGGCCACTGCTTCTTCTTAATTGTTTTGCCTTTGTATGAGTTAACGACCTAACCTAGCCCTACCTTCATTTTTCTCGCTACGTTATTTGCTGTGCACTGTATTAAAATACTACTGACTGGCTGCTACTAGTTCAACTAACTGGTACTACATACATACGATAAGATGTTATGCATGTTATAGTACGGCCGGTGGTCTGGTTTTGTTGTGCAGTCTGACTTGAACAATTTATTGAATCCAGTGCAGTCTAAATGCAATAAAGAATGCTGACACAATAAATTTGAGACTGTCAAAGTATCTTGAAGGATCTTGAAATATCTTTGAAATTTAAATAACACAGCAAAAACTTGAATCTTAACGGATCGCGTGGTAATAAATATTGACAAAGGAGAGAGAGAGAAAGAATAAAAGAGTGGGGAGAAAACCTGTTAAATAATCAGCACTCTCCTGGTACATATGTACAAATACGTAATTGTGTGGCAGTCTTGCAAATTTTATGTCAAACTGATTTGGACTTTAGGGCCAACTAACTAGCATGCTCAAAGTTATCAAAAAAGCCAAATATGTATGCTCCAATTATCCATATGCATGTGCATACTAATTTGTATTTCTGTGTGAAATTACAAGATTTTTGCGTATGATATGTCAAAAGAAAAGTTGTCTTGTCAAAGTGAGAGGTTGTCACCTGTGTTTGCATTCAGTGCCTCGGGTGCAAGTAACAACTTGCAAAAAATAACGGCAAGGAATTGATTTTTTGCAGCTTTTTGGTAAATATTTTGACCTGCAAGAAATGCGAGGCGCAAGAAACTACACCCGGCCGCTGTCCTTCGTACGGCGCGTGGCTAGATGGCGCATATTTCGTGCACTTTCTCCCAGTTTCTTGCACCTCGCATTTCCTGCATTTCTTTTTTTGCACTGTGAGAAATGTAGCAAACCCTGGATTTTTTTTGCACGAGTGCTTATAATAATTAGTGCGCAGAAAATCTCATTTTTGCAAATATTTATATCCATATTGCATAT